TTCAGACGTGTGCTCTTCCGATCTCCCCAAAACCCCAAAACCCCACAAGTATGAAAGTATAACTATAGAAGGTATATTATAAAGAAAACAAATGCATCATATATTTATTTACTCACAATTGAAAATTTTCTTAGGTTCTTTTTTTCTCACATTTCATATCTAATCAGAGTTACTAGGTCTTCTCGATTTCTGATTTTAATTGCTACTATTATTGATGAGGTTTGAATGCTTAAAATTGAAGTTTTATAGGTTTATAAGCAACTAATTATGGTTGCTCTTTCTTTCTCTGCTCTTACTGGGATTCAGAGAGTGATTCTACTGCTATTGCTAAAATTTGTAGAGTTTCTACATGAGATCGTCACTTGTAGGTGGGTTAAGTCCGATCTAGTGCATAGGCCTATTAATTTAACCAGGAGGAACATCATGATCCTTCAACATAATGTAGGAGTTCAAATCGCTCATTAGTGGAGATTCACCTCTTGTTAATGGTTGTGGAATTTTATCCCTTTACCTTAGAGGCTGTTAAATTTTAATTTTCTCTTGAGACTGATCAGGTGTTTTTCCTAGGAAAGTCTTAGTGATACGCTTATGTATAATGACTTTCCCTTTGGTATCTCCAATCTGAGGAATTTCAACATCCTAATGCTTCATCATCTTTGATTTCAATAAGAAGCTCAATTCTCTATGGTTAGGCTGAATTTAAGGCTGAGCTTAGGTATGTTGAGGAAGGTCTAATTATTAATTGTCATTTTCAAAGTTTCTGATAATTTACATCACCTTCTTTTTTCTTCTTAGGCTTTCTTCTCTGGGCTCATGACTCTATCCCTGTCGACGATGAGTTCTTTCTGCAGATTTTGAGCCTCCACTGCTATGGCCTCTACTTTAAGCTGCACTGAAATTGATAATTCCTTTAGGCAAAACTATTTTCTGTTTAGCCCCAGTTTAGGGCAAATTAACGTATGTTTGTGGTATGTTTAAATGAGGATTTTATTACAGGTGTTGTTACAGTAATTACTATTATTGGAACTATGCTAATTTCTCATTAAGAAGAGCCACATTGACCGGATCTATTCTGATCTCATCGAGGGCTGTTAACTCAGCACCCCCATATGAGCCGTTGGATTTATCAGAATGCTTAATTTGCTTAACTTGCTGGACTCTGGGAGAATTGGGGGTAGTGATAGATTTTGTACTAAATCCTGCGATAAGGTGGTTCGCAATTGTTTGCCTCTTTTTTAAATTTAAGATCGCTCTTCGATCTAAGAAACTCTACATAAGCTGTTTGTTGAATTGACTATAATTAAAAAAATAACACCACAAGTCTATCTTACTTATCATTCATTTTCTGCTGTATAGTCTGCTTAAGAGGATACTGCTGTTCTCCGGATGATTGACCTTGAGATGCCTTTTTGGCCTGAGAATTCCCACTTGATTTTGATTGGTCGTCATGAGTTATGAATTAGCTAAAACCATAAATGAGTTGCATAATTACTCTAAATAGCCTTTCTTTTTCAGATATTTTTCTGCTCGGTTGTCATGTGTTTGAAAAATTGGCTCAAATAACTAATTATCAAAGGGCTAGCTATTTTGTATTGATGGTTGTTACACAGGATTTTACTTCCCAAGACTATTAAATTATGAATAAGGAATTATTTTCTTACCCCTCATCAACCTTCCAGCGTGGGTAGTTGAAGTAATTATTCTACAATTACTCTTACATCCTGTTGTCACTCGTTCCATATATCAATGCCGCATCATATTACTTCTCTAATTAAAAAGTTAAACCTTTTAAATGATTTTACTTTCATTCGAAAATGAGCTCAGATTCGAGGAGCCCCCTGAGGATTTATATCTTTTGTGATTAGATTTCTGACCTACCGAGCCGATGCTATCGAAAGATTTTAAAAGTTTATGGTTCATTTGCTGGATTGTCATGTCAATATTTGTTTATTGTCCAGCCGAGTCCGTATTGCTGCCTTTCATTTGACTGATTTTAATTATAATATTTATTTTATAATTGAAGTGAAATAGTTAAGTTTTAATTAAAATTTTAGACAAAATTTATTAAAGTCTACATCAAGATAAAGAGTGAGAGATATATATTTATCCTGCTATCATGACCATGAATATTCATAATAAACCCTAGGATATCAAATCATAGACCTGCTGACTTGACTACTGCCACCACAGGGTTGAGTATATTAGCTTTATTAGTTTCTAGAATATACCCACTCATCACCATCTCATCCATAATAAAATGTGCCTTTTCAATGTTAAACATAATGTCTAACTCGCACACATTCTCAAAGTATTTATCAAGTGTCTCAACTAAATTATGGATAAATTCTAGGAAGCTCAGCTCATTAATATCGTCGTCTATGTCTATGGCTATGATGAAGTATAGCGAAGCATACCTTCTATATATCACTTTATACTGTCTATGCTCTAAGAAGGAACATTGATTTTCAGTCCTTGACAAACATTTTCTAATCAATTCACCTTCTAATGTGATCCTCTCTTGCACTGAAAAGCTGTTATAGTACTTTGAGAGCCTTGTTTAGCCCTACTTGTTAACCATTAAGATAAATTGTATCATTTTTCTAGTTAGATTTATTGTTCAAGATATTAAAGTATGTTGATTGAGTTCAAAACTCTTAGTCACCTTATTTATTAATTATATAATCTAAAATTTCTGTAATACTCCGCTTTTACTACCACGGGGTTTTGGGGTTTTGGGGTTTTGGGGTTTTGGGG